GGGGGGGGGGGGGGGCTGCAGCCGGCCCTAGCAGACTATTCAGGGGCTAGATAGAGAAACCCACCCAACAAGGCTATTTTCTGTGGCACCATTCCTAGCTTCCAAATACAACCTTTTCGAACTCAACCAACCAGTCCAGCTTTTGCCTCTTACAACACCCTAAACCGTGCAACCTTCTGGAAGACACAGCTACTCGGAAGCAGAACCCTTTCAATGCAACAGCACTTGCTGCCAGGTAGAAGGATCCCAAATCGGCAGAAAATTCCTTGTACTTGACATACTTTGGGAAGCCCCCTGTAAAACCTTTCCATTAATCTCGCTCCGTTCAGGATGATAACGGGGGATTTAATTTCAATGTTTATGGCTGGCCAACAGGCCATTGATTAAAACATAATTAATGGCAGAGAAGCAGATATTCTGATCTCTCCATACAAACTTACTGCTCCGTTGGGATCCTTCTGCTTCACAGTTCCATCAAAGTCAGACCATCATCACACTCCTGCCCCCTCCCCTTGATTTCCCTGTGAGCTTGGCCTGAAGGTTTCACTTTGGCTCATACTCCACCTCCTGCATCATGCAGGTTCCGAGGGTTATTATGCATAGATATCTGTGATTCCCAGGGTGGTGGAGAAGAGCGGAGAGGGCAACCAAGGTAGGGCACGCCGGTGCAAGAAAAAGAGTCCATTTGGCTTTAAATCCCTGGTTGTGGTGCATCTTCTGGTGGCTAAGTCGGAGCCTTGCAGCATGGCCAGAAAAGCCCTTAATTCAATATATTGAGGGTCGATTGGACCAGATCCGCCTGAGACTCCATTTGGTGCCAGCTTCGACAGGGCAAACCCAGAATGGGACATGGCTAAAACTACTCTCAGGAGATCATGAGCAAGCGATGTTTTACATCCCTTGCCTTTTTGCACCGAGGCAGCGGCCCAACTGGAAAAGTTCGCTCTCCGGCCACAACAGACTTTCCAACAGATCAGCACGGGCTGGCCTCTATGCAGAACTAACATAAATGGACACAAAAGCAGAAATTCGAAACAGTAATATTCAGAAACCAGTGGGGGGGGGGTTCATTTCGCAGGGTGGCCACCCTGGGAAAAAATAACTTAGACAAACTCTGAAAGTAAATGGCTAACAAGGATACCAGAGGTTCGACTCTGCCTTGTTTGGCCCAAATCAAAATAAGGGCCGGAAGAAATATCAACAACCTCCGATATGCAGATGATACCACTCTGATGGCAGAAAGTGAGGAGGAATTAAGGAACCTTGTAATGAGGGTGAAAGAGAAGAGTGCAAAAAACAGCCTGAAACTCAACATCAAAAAAACAGATCATGGCCACTGGTCTCATCACCTCCTGGCAAATAGAAGGGGAAGATATGGAGGCAGTGACAGATTTTATTTTCTTGGGCTCCATGATCACTGCAGATGGAGACAGCAGCCACGAAATTAAAAGACGCCTGCTTCTTGGGAGGAAAGCGATAACAAACCTAGACAGGATCTTAAAAAGCAGAGACATCACCTTGCCAACAAAAGTCCGAATAGTCAAAGCTATGGTTTTTCCTGTCGTGATGTATGGAAGTGAGAGCTGGACCTTAAAGAAAGCTGACCGCCAAAGAATTGATGCCTTTGAACT